AGCTAGTGGATCATCAAATCTTTTATAATCACGCAAAGCTTTATGCTTTAATTTAATACTTTTCATAATGTTCTTAGTAAACCAAGGTGGATAGTTTCTACCTTTTATTTTATCTTTCTTGAACTTCCTCCATAGAATTGACTTATTCGATGTGAATGGTAAATTATAGACTTATTATAGACTACTATAAACTCAAAATATGATGCAAAGTATTATAAAATTTCTCATGAACAGAATTAGGGTCTTCAAGCTCTAACATCAAGTACATAGATCGTACTATCAAGTACACAGATCGTGGTAGAAAGAAACATGGACCACCCCGTAGATTTCAAGTTGATTAAAGTGCATCTAACAAATTATTAGACCCGTCAGTCCAAACTTCTCTTCATTTCCCGTTTCTAATTAGTCCCGTTCAGGGGCTGCATAACGGCTCTGGATTAATTTCCTAAAACTATTTTTGATGGTGCTGCCGATTCTGGAAATTCGTATTTAAGTGACCGTTTAACTGCGATTTCCCCGGGCCCTTTTTCGCCCCGGCCCCAATTCCAGCCTTAAAACGGATCCATTATTTTAATATTATCTCTCTTTGGAACTGTAATTCTCGCAATTTCATGCTAATAGAATTAGAACTCCGTTAATGGGGACAAATTGTGAGGCCGTTTGTTAAAATTTTCGCCATTTTGGAGCAGATGATTCGGTTAGAGTTTCATAATGCCCGCTAAATGCTTCGTATCTGTTTATTTCCGCTACGGCTTCGTCTACAGGGCGATTTATTTGAATATGGCAAAAATAAAATTAATGGATATCCGCACTAAAAAATATTTTTAAGTATTAAAAGAAATTGTATATAATTATTGAATTTTGTCATATTTTGTGCGTTGAAGAAGTTGATAATTATTGGTTCCATAATTTCAACTATAAACTAAATAACATTGGGAATTATGAATAAAAAAGGAGGTAATAGTTCATAATAGAAAAGCCATCTTTTGCTTCTTCTTCTTCTTCTTGTACCTGTCGTTAGGTTCTCTTCAAGTCCCGATAGCATCGCGGTCTTATCAGACCTATTGGGCGTCCTACTGTTCAAAGCTAGTTGTTTTGTCCTTTTCACAAAATCCAAAAGCTTCCTTGCCGACACTTCTCTCAGCCCCGGATGTGCAGAAAAGTTTCATCCATCCAGTCACATCCTTGACAGATCGGGCTGTCTACAAGCCTTAGCTTGTACATATGTTTCCTAATGTGACAGTGTCCCGTTATAAGTCCCGTCATTTTCCTGAGTCGAATTTTTTTCAAGATCCGCAACTCATTCGTTCTTTTCTGCAAAAGACATTCCATAAGTTACTTCGCAGTAGTTCCTACTTCTGACTCATTGTCAATCCATTTACTCAGACTCTCATTTCCATCAATGCCTTTGTCTCCTGGCACCCAACATAATCTAACTGCATTAGCGGTAGTTAGTTCAGTTCAGTTAGTTAGTTAGTTATTTGTAAACAATCCCACACAAGTTTTGAACTTACCGTATGTGTCTAAAGCTTTAATTGCTGCTTGACTGTCAGAGAATATGTATATGAGTTTATGTCTATAACTTCTACGTACATTCTCTGCTAAATATGCCATTATCGCGAAAATTTATGCTTGAAATACAATGGCAAACTTCCCCTGACTATATCTTGCACTTCATCAGAGTCTGAGTCCATATATCCCCACACCTATTCCTCTGGCCGTTTTGGAGCCGTCCGTAAACCAATAAGCTCTCTTGCTTAAAAATATTACTCTGAGAAAATACATTCAATCATTTGCTTCCGGTAACTTTTACACAAACACCGGCAAGAAAAATAAGATAATAACGAGAGCAAAGGTGGTTTTATTTTCCCTACAAAAGATGAAAGATTATGGGGACTTCTTGAGAATATTTCATCACTCAGTTTTATAAAAGCTAAATGAGATTTATCCAGTCACGATTGTCCAAATTCTGAGGATGATATTTTGAACTGTTTGGATACTGAGTTTAAGTAGATGCTGGACTAACACTTTTCGATATAAATAAACACGTTCTTATTTTGTATTCTTAGAATTTGTTAAAATAGATATATTTGTGTAGCAAAGAGCGTTTGATCCGTAAATAGGAGATAGTGGAACGATGTCAGGCCTTGTTGCCAACTTGTCTGTATTTGACTTTTCCAGAGACATATTGTTTTCATCATTTTTTCAGAAGAATTTGCTGTATGCACTGTTTTCAAGTCTCTTGACTTTCTTGTCCTGATTGTTACGAGTTGATTCCAAATCTCAAGTAAGTTCTATGCTTTCGCCTTTATAGAAATTAACTGAATTTTTTGAATTTCTATTGCTTTTTGAACAGCCTTGGCTAAGTAGATCATAATTTTGGTGAGAGAGTAATTTAAAAACGACTCAATCCCAACAGTCAAGGACAGGAAGGTAACATGCCAGTGACTTTAAACCGTGCCCCAAATCGCTATGGACACGGCAAATATACATACCGGCTAGAAGACAATCTCCACTTTACAGAACTTCTTCTGACTAAGAGAGGTATGTGCCTCTCGGAACATCAAGAATTCTAAATAGACGACGTAGTGTCGAGCTTGGATGTTGTTCAGCCATTGCGTGCAATAATAACAACAATGTACCGTACCTTTTTTTCTCCATAAATACATTACTTTATACCACAGCATATCAAATATCAATAAATTAACTCTTCCGTTTTTTTATATAATTTTTTTTCTGACAGTTAATCGTTTGTAACTCGGACACAAGGCTAATATAATTAAAACATTGATTTCTTAATGTACTCCTCTACTAGTCAAAAATAATACACTACTGCTGTAATGGAATCTCCTAAGAAATATTTTCAAGACTATATTATTCACTTTACTAAATGAAGGTAGAAAGAATAAATTAATTTTCTGTAAATTTTATCACATTATGAATAGCTATAAGTTTAACAATGTGGAAAGCTGTGACTGGAATGTGAGATTTAACGTAATACATACATCTGTCAGTTGCGTGTGCTTGCCTAACAGTAAAACACCATTTTCTAAAGCTTCTGCTGTAAATTGTGTTGGAATCCGAATTTGTCCAACAATGCCGATGCAAATTAATTGGAGACATTTTCCACTAATCCGGCATGGATCACTGTTGAACCAACAACACGTTTGCTGCTAATTCTCGTTAGTTCGACTCGTTTCATGCGAATATGTTACTTCCAATTAACGGTTATCAACTTTACTTCAATACAGAGGGCGATAGAAATTTTGGGATACACAATTAATATGTAACCATTGAAATGCTACAGCTAATTTTGATTGGTTTAGTTTAGAATTTGGTTTGGATTGTAATAAAGCACTATACAGGGTGTCTCATAATTAGCTGCCAACCCTGAACAGGCCGATTCTATAATCAAAACTAAGTAAAAAAGTTCATATGAACATGGATCCGGAAATGCTTCCTAAGGGCACAGGGACCCATTGAAGAGGGAGGAATGGAAATCATTTTTTTGCAATATCTCTCAATCGCGTTGTGATAAATGAATGAAATTTGGTATACACAGCTAAATTTTGATGAGCAATTTGATGGACTAATCCATTTATTTCCACAAGGTCCATTGGGGTGGGTACGGGGGGGCCCTTGGTACTTTGCGTGTGTAACTTTTTCATCTTTGACTTTTTAACAAATTGGACAGCAAATTCCGTTTTCCCGAACTGTTTTACGTTAAAAAGGTACTCTTGTTTCAAATCGTTATCTTTAACGGTTTCTGAGAAAATCGCTCTTGAATTAATCCCACTTTGGTCAATTTCATAGTAATTTAAACAAAAAAAAATATTTTGTTTCAATTTAATCTAGTTTTAATAAAAAAATAATAATAAAAAATTAAATTAAATAAAAATTAATCCTTTAAATGGAAAAGAGAGGAAAGGAAAATTATTATTATTATTTTTTGTTTAAATTACTATGAAATTGACCAAAGTGGGATTAATTCAAGAGCGATTTTCTCAGAAACCGTTAAAGATAACGATTTGAAACAAGAGTACCTTTTTAACGTAAAACAGTTCGGGAAAACGGAATTTGCTGTCCAATTTGTTAAAAAGTCAAAGATGAAAAAGTTACACACGCAAAGTACCAAGGGCCCCCCCGTACCCACCCCAATGGACCTTGTGGAAATAAATGGATTAGTCCATCAAATTGCTCATCAAAATTTAGCTGTGTATACCAAATTTCATTCATTTATCACAACGCGATTGAGAGATATTGCAAAAAAATGATTTCCATTCCTCCCTCTTCAATGGGTCCCTGTGCCCTTAGGAAGCATTTCTGGACCCATGTTCATATGAACTTTTTTACTTAGTTTTGATCATAGAATCGGCCTGTTCAGGGTTGGCAGCTAATTATGAGCCACCCTGTATACACATAAACATTACCTTATTTATAGATTTTCAATAATATAATTATTACATTTTTTTTAAGGTTTTCATGAGTGATTACGAGTCACGAGACCAGTAATTTTATTTGGAATAGTAACTTTATTTCTCTCACATTGGCACATAAATTTTTCTAAAATTAAAACAATAATATCCAGATTACATGAAAACACAATATTCTGTTTCATCGGCTGTGATTGGTGTAGTTTTTCACGAGATTCAACCAATCAGCGATCGCATTATCTCCGGTAAAAGTTTGTCATTGTTCATTGTAAACGAGTAATTAATATTGGTGACGCCAAGAATTGGGGAATTTTCGTTACCAGTACCAAAGGTGTATCGTTGGGTTGCCTAAGTTCGGCGGTCACGTGGCTTGTAAACATTTATGAAAGCTTTGTACTAGGTACGCCTTTCGACGTTACGAGTTCAAGCCTAATAATTCGATCTCACATTCTATTAGACCTTAAAAGTCCCTGTTAATTGTAGAATATCGACACACGTTTTTTTAATAATGTAACATTTTTGCAAATATTTCCTTAACTGAAATACACATGGTTCGAAAGGGTCTCTATGATGGTAATTCTGTTGAACTGCGTCACCCTGGGGATGTACCAGCCCTGTTTGGACAAGGATCCGTGTACCACCAACAGATGCAAAATCTTACAGGTGAGTCTCACTAAATTATTTTTAGTAGGTAACTCTTTCAGATTTACAACTAATTCACAATTAAATGTATGTTTTTTACGTATATTTAGATTATTTAGTCTCCCAGTATAGAAAATGAAAATAAAAAAATATATACAAATAATATATTGTATCAGACACACAAGACACAGTATAGAAAAATTGGACTGACCTGAAGACCCCTAGGCTATGCTTAATCCGAATCCATCGGTGTTTTTACACTAATCGTTGAAGAGCCAACTACAGCATCAGTAACGTTTAAAAAATATACAGGATGTCCCATAAGCACATGATCAAAAAGGAACTGCGATATTCTTTGGCTCAAAAGAAGACGATTTGACCTAACTTCCATTAAGAAAAAATGTCCGGCTCCTCTGCTATTGATTGTCGAAGTTCTTGAATAAAAAAATATGTTTTTTGTAATATCTGGAGAATGTTACGATAGATTTTAATGAAACTTGCTGTGGACTTGTTCCTAAGTAAAACTCATGTTTTGATGAAGCAACCGCGCCCATCTGCCTTGGAGGTAGGTAAATTCTTGAGTGTCTTGGTACAAGAATTACCAGAACTTTTTATTTGGTAATTAATTCATTTTATTTTTATTGTTGCATCAGTCCTTTTTCGAGACTTTCGTGCTCTTGGTAAAATCTTGTAGCATTCATAGTTTTTAATGCAAAAAATTGTTTTCTGTTTCGTTGCGATTTAACAATTTTAAATGTATCGCAGTAAATCTGACCTTTTACAAGAAGCAGCTTTCTCTAATAATAATTGCCAATTTTTTTACCTAGGATATCAATATTGAAAGTAAAATGGTCGCAACTTTAAAGTCATTTGAATATCATTTTATTTATCTTATTTATTTATTTATTTATTTATTTATTTATTTATTTATTTATTTATTGTTAACACTCAAAAAATGTAAAGACGTACTTAGGAAAGACATAATTCTCTTTATTGAAACTGTATGATAGTTACATAGATACGATAGATGATGGTGGAATTACAAGACATGTTCGATATGCCCCCCATTTTCCTGGATGCATAGCTGGATACTTCGATTGAAATTGAATTGAGCCATCCTCAACATTTTTGGATCTTTCCGAATTACGTCCGCCTCGTTTTGAATCCTACGCAATAATTCTTCCTGCGATTCCACAGGAGTAACGTAAACTTTATTCTTCAAGGCTCCCCATAGAAGATGATCATAATCGACATATAGTCCACAGAGAATGGACCTGCATTCTTCACAGAAATAGGCGTTGAAAATTAGTCTCAGAATATTTCATTTCTGGGTTGACTACGTTCTGTTTTCAGGAAGTAAAAATCGTCTTCTTTTAGCCAAAGAATATCGCAGAACCTTCTTGATCATGTGCTTATGGGACACCCTGTGTATTTGGACTGGATAAAGTCTTAATTTTATGTATTTTAATACTGTGTTGGTCTTCCTGGTCCTTCTGGTAGTTATTTGAGAAAAATTGCCGGGAAAATTCGAAAAATCGCTAGAAACCACTTATTCTAAAATAAGTGCCTTCCTTGAAAAGGATGATAGTAACGAATTGCCTACAAACGTCAAGTCTCATTTGAATTGTACATTAACACCAAACCTGCTAGTTCTTGATCGGAAAACATTTTATACGCCGGTTAAGTAATACTGCAACGCACAACGCACGTGCACAAGGTGCACAGTGTCGTTTTACATTTATGGTTTCTTAATTAATTTTCTCGAAAGTGGAAGCATTTAGACCATGCTGCTTAATAAAAGTTGCTTATTTTCGTGCCCTCTATTATCCTTTTCAAGCAAAGCACTTATTTCAGAAACACACTGTATAAACATTTGCACTGAATGAAAAAAATTGTTTGGACTAGTGCAAGTTTTATACGAACATAATATTTGAAGAATCCTTTATTAAAAATCAATGGTTAAAATCCGTTTTATAATATCTGCAAAACATCCGGTGTGATTGAAAAACTTTATTTAACTTCATCTTAAAACTGTACTGTCTGTCAGAATCCAATAACAGCTAACAGAAATGTAACCACAGAGCACTCAGAAATGACACCCGATATATCAACATGCCCTTGCCCTTTTCTGAGGTCTCCAAGACAAGAAATATTTGCTCTCTCCAAATAAAACTCTGCCGGCGTCGGATGAGTAAACAGCGCACAATAAGCTCTATCTTTAGGATGACAATAAATCAATAAAACATTACTGCCGCCGTTAATACTTTATAACTGACTTTCATAGTACTCAGACCTCAAATGTTATTGGACATTAAACGGTGAATTACACAAATACTTTTGACACTCGCGTCGCGGAATATTTGTCGCTATTTTTGAACTTTAATAGTGCATTGCAGAAGTGTGTATTGTATTTGATGTAAACTTTTACTAGTGTAAAATTATTTTCAAAGTATCATCTAAAATAATGTTTATTTCACATTTCTCTTTCTATTTCAAATAGAGAATTACAGTTTGAGAATACTTTGTAAACCGGCAACACTGCGGTCTGTTCATAACAGACAAATTATGCTATGCATAAACACCAGTCAAAGGTTCTCAACAAGTTTTCTTTTAAAAAGTCGTGTGTAATATAAAGCCCCTGTATGACCTCTATTTTTATTTTTCAGTATAAAAACATATCTAATATAACATATAATGTAACATCAGCATTCCTGTCGCATCATCTTATTCCAGAAATGCTGATGCATATAATTTATTCCTATTTAAAGCATCATCATATGTACAGTATAGTTTTTGCTTTATTCTTGTTAACTTACGTTGGTGCTAATAAATACTTATACAGGGTCGGAAAGTCCCCATGGTTCATCCGCCGTTACGTGAGAGCGATAAAGTAAGTCATAGAAATCCGTGCGATAGAGAAAGATAGCTATAATGAAGCGTCTAATAGTCACCGCCCATTTCGCCCTTCCACAAATAAGAAGTGGATCTTATTTGTGGAACGGCGAAATGGGCGGTGACTATTAACGGCTTCATTATAGCCATCTTTCTCTATCGCACGGATTTCTATGACTTTCTTTACCGCTCTCACGTAACGGCCGATGAACCATAGGGACTTTCCGGCCCTGTATAACATCCAGACATATAATTTTATTCGTGCATGTTTATTTTTAGTTAGGCTTTTTTGTTCGTAACTATTAATTATATATTCTTCACAGTAAATTATACCGTTGTTTATAATACACGTACAGATTTACGATTTATTACATATTAAATTTTTACTGTACCCAAGATAATTTGTTTAACAAAGTACCTACTAATTTTATTTTCCCTTTTCATTATAAACAGATTTGCGGTCCTTCCCAATTAGGACAAATTTAAATTTGCCAGAGCTAATATCGCAGTTGAGCGGGTTTAACATTTCGTAAAAAGTTTGAGACAACTTTTCGTGGTACTACGTGAAATTATCTTTTAATTAGCCAATTTAAAATTGGTTCATTTAATTAACCAGGCCAATCGATATTTATAATAAAGGAGGCAAATGGATTTTCAATTAGAAGATGGAGAACAAATTTAAATATCTTGAAACACATTTAATTGCCTACCCAATTTCTGACTGATTTCAAGTATCATAAATGGGTTAAAAATATATATGCATATATATTATTAACTGTTTTAGATATGTATAAATAAGTGTTAACAAAATATTCATATAACAGATTCCTGAACTGTGAAATATGCTCATATAATTTTGACATATTTTCGTTAAAATTTTCAATTAATTAAAACATTGATAAAATCGATTAGAGTTGTATGTAAAACCGTTGGTCCTTTGTCTAAGCAATGTTAGGTAAGTAAATGACCTCTACCCTATGGCAAAGTGGTGGTTCGACATATTTCCAGGGTAGGGGTTGCTCGTCTCCTGACGTCAACATTTAGTCATAGCAGAAATAGGCCGAAGTAAAATAAACGAATTTAAAAAATATGCATCATTTCATAAAGTTTATTGATTCATAAATTACGCACCACGCTCTAATCTGTATATGTACTTTACGCACTGCTATGTATGAAATGCGTACTTTACGCACTAGAAAGTACATCATGTACCTTACGCTCTGGTATGTAAGTATCAATTAGTGTGAAGAATATGTACTTTATGCACCATTACGTATAGAACATGATTGTGTTTCACGCATTACTACGCATCAAACATGTTCTTTACGCATTATGAAATGTGTATCTTAGACAGTAATACGCCAAGATGTACTTTAAGCACTAGTGTGAAAAATATATACTTTACGCACTACTACATATAAAACATGAACTTAACGCACTATTATGAAAATATGTACATTTCACAAATATAAGTATATTTTATGCATTCGATTGTGACAAAAACGATTTTTATGTACTGTAGCATTTTTACGTACACGTTGGGTAATATTTCTTGTTTCTTACTATCAGACTTAAAGGACCCCGCACAAATCTTATGAAAATTGGGTCCCGGTCAAATTCGCTGAATTTTTGATATGTGTTAGAGTTCATCATACTGGTCAATTGTCTCAATGGCCACAAAGCTCAAAAATGGATAGTTTGGCCGGTACAGAGCTTTAAAGCTCCGAATATCCTCCATGGATTTATGTATATGCGCAGTGTGTATAGACTTTTGAAATAGCCTATTTAATTTTTTTTATTATCTAGGTTTATATTTTTGAGGTTGCTGAATTCAGATCTGTTGTTAGATTTTCAAAATTGACAGTTGGCAGCTGTCAAATAGCTGTCAATGTGCTATAATAAAGCCAAAAACTTGTTTTTTTATGATTTATCTTTCTTTTTTTTAGTTCGATAAGTTCAAAGACGATATCAAATCAATAACAATGACTATCGGCAGCTGTCATTTAGCTGTCAACAATTCTTCAAAGTCCGGTAATAAAGTCAAAAAATTATTTTTTGTTTATAACTTCAAGTTTTTTAGATAAGTGAATATAAATATGATATAAAATTATGTAGTCATCAGCTTACAGCTGTCAACAAGCTGTCAACTAACTGTCAAAATGCAATAATAGAGCAAGTAACTTATTTTTTGTGCTTAACTTTGTGGATAAGAAATCAAACATGATATAAGTTTATGACATCACTTTTGAACTCAGTGATCTAAGCAACTTAAAGCTTTTTAAAAAAAGTAACTTTTTGACTTTATTATTGCATTTTGACAGTTAGTTGACAGCTTGTTGACAGCTGTAAGCTGATGACTACATAATTTTATATCATATTTATATTCACTTATCTAAAAAACTTGAAGTTATAAACAAAAAATAATTTTTTGACTTTATTACCGGACTTTGAAGAATTGTTGACAGCTAAATGACAGCTGCCGATAGTCATTGTTATTGATTTGATATCGTCTTTGAACTTATCGAACTAAAAAAAAAGAAAGATAAAACATAAAAAAAAAAGTTTTTGGCTTTATTATAGCACATTGACAGCTATTTGACAGCTGCCAACTGTCAATTTTGAAAATCTAACAACAGATCTGAATTCAGCAACCTCAAAAATATAAACCTAGATAATAAAAAAAATGAAATAGGCTATTTCAAAAGTCTATACACACTGCGCATATACATAAATCCGTGGAGGATATTCGGAGCTTTAAAGCTCTGTACCGGCCAAACTATCCATTTTTGAGCTTTGTGGCCATTGAGACAATTGACCAGTATGATGAACTCTATCACATATCAAAAATTCAGCGAATTTGACCGGGACCCAATTTCCATAAGATTTGTGCGGGGTCCTTTCTGAAGAAATTAATAAAATATTGACCACTGAAACTAACTGCTCGTTTTCAGAGGTTTGACGAATTCATCTTCGCCTTCTTCTCCCTCGAGATGACCATCAAGATGATCGCCATGGGCGTCTACGGACGCGGCGCCTACCTGGCCGACTCCTGGAACAGGCTGGACCTCTTCATCGTGATCGCTGGCGCTGTGGAGTACGGCCTCCCGAACTTCAACAACCTCAACCTGTCGCCGGTCAGGACGATCAGGGTGCTGCGTCCTTTGAGAGCAATCAACAGGATACCCAGTAAGTTTCGACGTGTTTGTTGTAATTGTTGTTGTTGTTTTGTTGAAACGGACATTGTGTCAGTTTGACATTTTCATGTAGATGGCGCTGAAAACGATCGTCACTTTGTTTCAAGTTACACAAAATTAATTTCATGGAACTCTTAACCCAGATAATATGTATCATAACTTTTTAACAGCATATTGCTTGAATCTTTGAAAAATACTTCCCTTTGATTGATTATCCTGATCGTGCAATGACCACCGAAACGTCCGGTACTGAATGCCTGCAAGTTTTATGCAGTTTACGTGGTCTTTAGAATTACAGAGGCGGCCTTAGGGGGTGGCGAGCAGGGCAATCACCCGGGGCCTCTTGTAGGGGCCTCGTACAACAACCCGAGGAAAAAATGTTTATATTTAAACCTTTATTTTATCCTTAGCTATTAATTATACAGGGTGTCCCGAAATTCAGGCAACAAAATTTGGTCATAGATTCTTAAGGGCACCATATTCTTTAAATAGTGTTTTCCGCAAAGACAAATAATTTCAAACATTTAATAACTGAATAATCTAAAGCTTATCAAATAATAGGAATGTTATGTCATGCCACCTGTGTATTTTCAAAGACGCCTCAGTAAAACGAATAAACAGGTGCAAAAAACGATCAAACCATCAAGGTTTTAGGTACTGAAATCTATGAAAATACTAACTTTTTTATATATAACTCCACATGTAAATATTCTTATAACATTTACTTGCTTAGTCCTACATATAAAATTGTTTACTTTTATTTATAAGTACGTGAAAATAATTCTTAAAATGTGGGGTTAGGATAACAGAAAACGCATGTTTTACAAACGCTTTTTTTAGTTATTATTTTATTTGGGTAAATTTAAATGGTAACAATGAATAAACAAAACATCAAGGATTTTATTTTTGTGCTTACTTTTGTTCTACACGTTTTACTTTTCAAGATTTTAGTACCTAAAAATGCCAGAAATTTCACTATTTCTCGGCCAGGGATATGGCCACCTTAAGACAAATTTAGGGGACCCGCATTTTTTATTTTTGCCAAGTGGCCCCCTGAAGTCCGCCCCTAAGAATAATCTTTTTTTTATATCTCCCCTGTTGTACGAGAATCAGTAAATTTGACACACAGGGGTTTTATGACATGTGAAATCTAATGGTGCTACGCTTTTTTGCGGAAAACCCCCTTAAGACAATTTTTCGTGGGCCCCCTTGTTTTTGGAGCCAAAAAAATTTGGTCGCATATTTAAGTTTCTTAAAAATTATTAGTCCACTAGAAACCCATTACATTTAGAAACTTTTTGTCCCTTTATACTTTTTTCGTAAAACGCAATGTTTTCAAGAAAAATGTCAAACTGTGATCGAATGCATATCGTGATTCGCCATTTTTCTCAAAAACATCGCGTTTTTCGAAACAAAATCAAGGGACAAAAAAGTTTCTAATTTCAATGGCTTTCCAGCTAACTAATAATTTAAAAAAAATCAAATTTGCGACCCAATTTTTCTGGTTCCAAAGACAAGGGAGGCCACGAAAAAGTGTTTTAAGGGGGTTTCTTGCCATAAAGCGTAGCACTGTGAAATTCCACATATCATAAAACCCCTGTTTATCAAATTTAGTGATTCTCGTACAACATGGTTTTGAGATATAAAAAAGACTTCTTAGGGGAAGATTTCAGGGGGCTGTAACTCCGAAAGAGGGGGCCAATTGGCAAGAAGAAAAAATAGGGGTCCCTTAAATTTGTCTTAAGAATCTATGACCAAATTCTGTTGCATGAACTTCCGGACACCCTGTAGAGGTATATGACAATAAAATAAAGTTGGTTAATTCAGTAAATATATTAATACTTAATAAGTAGAGTAATAGGTGCCTAAATAAAATTTCTCATTTAGATTTATTTATATCAAAATCGATTAATTTATCAGAGAATATTTTTGTAATTTGACTGTAAAACATAATTGAAAGATATGTTTCAATCTCGTACCTTATTTTTATCATTATTAAAAATTTGTCGTCTTTGTCTTTGTTAACGTTTAAAAATCTCTTAATATTTGAAAACTCAAAATTTATAACTTCGGAAATATCTACATTCGATTTACGTACATTTCACAAAGAACAAGGGCCTCGCAAAGATCTGCCGCCCGGAGCCTCGCAATGGTTAAGACCGCCTCTGCCTAGAAGCAATTCATACATCGTGTCACAAGTAGCTTGAGATAACTGATCGAAGCCAATTAATGCAAAACTAATATAAACCTCTATCGAAAATAATACATATTTTTTAAGAATTATGATCCCGATCACTGCCAATACTTTCTATTACCACAGTTTATAACAACACCAATGAATCAAATGAATGTAAAGTATATTCATAGATTTGTGAGAATAACTACCTGAGCTGACCTGAGTTCAATTACAGCCCATCATTAGATTCAGTTGTCATGGACAATGTTTCCGATGGGATAAATCAACAAGTGGCATTTTTGTAAAATCAATCATTTTAATAGTTCATATGAAGCAAGAACATCGTTTTGTTAATTCAAATATAAGGCACTGTGGAGTCGTGAGACAAGTAAAGAACGGCTGGAGAGGATCTACTTTTTCTCGGTGTTAGTGAAAAGTTTAGTAATAAGTAGAACACTACTTACTCACTACAAAATACCGCAGTATTATAATTAAATATGCAAGGAAACAGAAAAAAATTGAGCGAAAAACATGCCAATTTGAAAATAATCCATGGCAATGAAATGCATGTCTTTTTGTAAATATTTTTAACCCATAAGAGCAGAATTATGTACTACACAGAACGAAAATGACGTACATATAATGAAAAAAAGCTTAATTTTCAACTGATGCTTCATAACGTATCAGTATTGATTACATGATGCTTGTTGCATTTTACCAATGTCTCCTGGTCATTGATTTCATCACACACTTGGTGAAATTGAAAACATATTAATGTCCACATTGATTAATAAAATTCCAATAATTCTCATTGTTTTAATGTATAATTAATGTTTCTTGTAAAATTTTGAAACTCAAGTGAAAATTTCGTTTCCAGCACTGCGCCTTCTGCTTCATGTGGAGGGTCGTCTGTGTTCTTACGTTACTTTTGGGACATCCTTTACTTTTTCAGGGTTGGCACCACGTAAATGAGTTCGTACACTAGATTCGAAAGTGGAGAAAATTTTCGAAATTCATTCAATACTGGGACATTACATTTTATTACATTATATTATTTTAATTATAAAAAATACCCTATATTGATGATATTGCACCAACAGTTGTCATTATTATCAGGCTCATTATTTTCTTTTCTTCGTATTTAATGGAATTAATTCAGCAGTAACGTCAAACACAGTAATTCGAGAGGCTTCTTGTAAATACGTGCCCCTTGAAATTTTCCATGCAATTATCCACTCTCCTTTATCTCTGAAACAAAACAGTCTCTAAGACAATAAGCAGTTCCGCCCCCTCCAGAAATAACTTCAAATAAATAATCTCTACACATAAATTAAACTCGGCGGCACAAAGTTATAAAAGACGTAGGATATATTAAGCATAAGATGATAACCTCGGTTTTTGCGAGGCAAAATAAACCGGTAGCGGGGGTAATCTTTTATGATAATCGCCGATAATTCTCTTTGAAACGTTGACTGCTCCGTAGCGGCTGCATATCGTCATTCCGGGGAGATATTAAAAGTCTGGAAAGAACCCATTAAAATTCTGCATACATAAAGATGATGTCAGCGAGACGGCACGCGAATGCCGGGGGAGACTATTTTGTAACAATCTGTTACAATGGACGGCGCCAGTCGGTAATATACACGGTGTACGAGAAAAGTTGGGATGATGAAACCCGTTAGAATACGAAAAAAGTTGTTGTGAACTATATTGAAAGAAATATTTTACAGTGTGTTTGTTAGCTCTGCTTCTCAAATATCAAAAAAGAACTTTAATTAATTGAAACGATCTTTTACTTGTTAAGTGTATTGTAACTTGATGGGTTATTTCTTTATTATCTATCTACCGTTATGACCAGCATCATTACGATACTGGATTTCAAAAGAGTTTACTTCTCGAAAGGGAGTTTATAATTTTTATCAACTACACTTTAATTAAAAGTGGGAAATGTTGTACGTTCAGAGAATGAAATCCAGACACTTACCGTACGTCGCTCATGTAGAATGTAAACCAGTGGTTGGTTGTATAGGGCGACACTTAAGTTGGAAGAACAAGAAAACATCAAAACTTTCCATGAAGGGTTTTAAAAACAATAAAAAAACACAAACAAAATAACGAAAGACACAGCGGATTCGAACAAACATTATTGATTAATTAACACGCGACAACGCAATCCGAGATTCAGGGAACTCCATTCATAGCAAAATTTGGAAGGACTTTATCCGTTATTAAATTAACCCGAGACTCTAAAATTAAGAAAACTGCCCAATGTGGAATCCAAGGAGAAACTGCTTTTTCGGAGATCTCTCCTGAAATCGACACCTCGCTTCGACACTCCCATTTCTTGGGTACAGAAGTTTCAGTTCTTATCTTATTGGCGGTATCCCCGAATAACGGGGGTTGGAATGGGTTAACTATATCATGTTAATACCTAACTGACACAATTAACAATTTACAATTGTATGGACAATTTTGAGATTAAACTGAACTTACAAGTAACCCTAGCCTTCCTCTAGTGACTCCGTGTAGCAGTACAGAACGGATTAGTCAATCTTATTTAATCTATTCTTATAGCTTGGAAAATCCGCCTAAAACCCAGCTATTTGTTCTATTATTATTTTCCTCACAACACTCCAACAATTTATTTAAGTACCTTGGAGCCTTTTCGAATGCAAATATCGATTTTTCCCTTCACCATGGGCTAAACCGTCGCTCCCAGATGCCCAACACATGGCCCTGAGGGTCTGAGTCAACTTGTTCAAAAACATTGCTAAATTTCATGAGGCCTTCTCCGAAGGACGACTTTGCAAATTTAT